TGTATAAAAATACAACTGCGTGAAACACACAGTAGTATAAAACTTCAACTGCGTGAAACACACAGTAGTATGAAACTTCAACTGCGTGAAATACACAGAAGTATGAAAATTCGGCTGCGTGAAACACACATACTTCACGCATGCGTGGCGTGTATGGACTGTACGGGAGTGATTCACGCAATGGTGCGAATAGTCACGGCCCATTTTTATTATAACCTTTTTTGTGGAGCCGATTGAGAGCTCTAACAAATGTAATTACAAAAATTTCGCTATCTCCGTTAGATTCGGAAATATTCCTCTAAAACTCAACTGGGTGAGTCGACTTAAACCGGTTTACCACTTCGCTACTGAATTATACAAAATTTCTCACATTGTTCTTTAAATTCCTTGAAATTCACTTGTTGTCAAGTATCTGAATATTCCGATTTTTAAAAATAGATTCTTCAAAGTTTTAGATTCTCTCAAAGATTTTTTTCTGCACAGTTGACATATTTTGATTACAATTTCCGGTACACTTCTCGAAAATTGTCATCATGAAGCAGTTTCACTGAGTCCAAGTTATTTTATCATTGAAAATGCACAAGCTAATTGTAAAAATCAATTGAATGCGTTGATTTCCGTTAAATTATTCTATAAAAATTGATGGAAACAGGAGAAATTCTTGCGCACTTCATGCAGTTCGCAAGTTTAATTCTCCCATTCATCGCCACACGTGGGACATTCGCAAATAAATTATTTTATCTACTAGTTCTGACTGTTGTGACACTAACTGCTCTCTGGCTGAGACCAGGCTCCACCGAACGCCTGGTCCTGTCTTGCCTCAACCTCCTAGGGCATTTGTTCACTCTTCGCAACGTTCACTTCAGCATGCCTGACACTGGAACAACAGTTCCAAACATCTGTGAGTTCCCATCATCCCTGAATTGAACAAATTCCCTGAATTTTTTCAATAATTTGTTCAATAATTGAACAAATTCAATTAAGAGTATTTTCACTGGGGCTTTCAGTGATCTTCTACACGAATTCCCTCGTCCTCTCGACGATCGCATTGGTACTGACCTGCTGGCTTCAGAGGCTCCTCGAGGCTGAACGAGAAGTGCCCGCTTGGGTGGCTAGACCGGTCTCAGCCATCCTCTCGAGCACACCTGGACAATTCTTCTCGATGGGCCTCATGGAACCCAGAGCTGCTGCTCTCCTCACAGATGACGATGACACCAGCAGTCTTGTGGATTGCGAATCGAAGAAAACTAATTGGGAGAGCGTTGTTACTGTCATCGGCTGGATTTCCTTCGCCAGTTTTATTTTTGTTTATGTCGTTATGGCTGCTGTTCTGCTTCGATAAGTTTTGAAGGGGAATTCTGTAGGAGTTCGGGTTTTGCACAATTTTTTTTCATTATTATTTTATACTATTAATAACTTTTTGAATAATTTTGGGATTTTTTTTATCAAGCGACAGCTCCACTGAAATTTCAAGAAGTTTCGTAATTGAAAACTCTATTCTATGAAAATAAACGAAAACGGTGAAATTTCAGGTACTTATATTGTTGAATTGTGGATGAATTGAAAGTTCAGTGTAATTTATTCATAAAATTGATGTTTTGTTCTTTAAACAACTACTAAATAATTGGGAATTCTATGATTTTTGCCCTTCTAAATCAGATTTTAAGTGAATCTCCAAAAAATTAGTACTAAAATGTCCATTAAATTTCAATTTTATTCTAACTATGAATATGGGAATAAAATTTTAAAAAATGGAATACGTTTTTTTAAAATTTTAATAAATCAAGAGACAGTTGCACTGAAATTTCGAGGACTTTCCCCATAAAAAAACTGTCCATTCAATGAAAAAATGAATGAAAACTGAATTCCAGTTTCATTAATTCATAAAAAATGAAAAAATCAGGAAAATATAGGGAAATTACTGTTCCTGCTAATAATAAATTTGTAATTTCATGATTTTCCCCCTAAATCGAATTCAAAGTCGATCTCCAACGAATTACTATTAAAATTTCTCCATGAAATTTTAATTTTTTATAATAGTGAACATGAAAACCAAATGAAACACAGGAAATACGTATTTTATAATATCAATAAATAATGTTAAAAATTCCATACTGTTCAAAATGAAAAATACGTAGTTCATATTCTTCATTCAATTCTCATATTCCATAATTTTGCAAAAGGGATGATAAATGAATGAAACAAATTTTGTATTTTCTAGAAAAAAGACTTTATTTTAAAAAATGCACAGTTTCATCTACTTTTACGTATCTTTCTTCATACTTTCGTCATACTACAATTTCCCACCAAACGCTAATCACACTGAGAAGAGACCGTCTTTCGATAAATTCACTTGATTCAAGTGATTTCAAACAAGACAAAGAAATAAATCGATTTCCGCGGAGGAGATGCTGATGACCCACCTGAATATTCCGTAACTCCTCCAATCAACGAAAGAAAAAACGAATCAAACCCAACAGAATGGCTGTTCTTCCCAGAGTACGAACCACGTGTCAAAGATCCACATGTTCACGACCAATTTGAGATCGTGTAATTTGGAATAATAATATAAATATCAAATAATATCAGTAACAAGAAGAAAATACCGCATTGTTAGAAAATGAAGGATAATGAGATTAGGACCTGCCTGGTTTTATCATGCTTAACTCTTACAAAAATTCCATTGTCTTCTATTATCTTGCTTGTTGGATCGATCACTGTGACTCTTGATTTTGATACAGTAGGAAATCTTTTAGTATTTGGGGTAATGGCAATGAATCGACTGCGTTTAGCTTTGTGTATTGAAGGATGGCGTCACGACAGGCACTCTGAAGTGTCGAGACTGCAAAGAATTAAAATCTTAAATTAAAACGATTCCAAACGCTTTATTCAGTGAATATTTTCTAAACTGAATATTTAAACTGTTGAATTCATCAAAGAAATTGAGAGATATTTTTTATAAAAAATTTATTTTGTAACGAAAAGTGAATTTGGATAATTGTTACTAAGTAATTCAGCTGATAAACATTAGTTCCATTCATATAATTTTCCGAACATTTGATAAATCCAATGTTTGAACTATTGAGTTTCCCAATAAATTCAAAAGTTCAAGTATATGATAAATAAACTTAAGATATTTTAAGAATAAAATTCAATGTCCAATGAAAAATATCTTTCGCCATTTTATGATAAACTCAATAATTGAGACGATATGGACGCAGAAGAATGAGAATAATTATTGAATAATTACCACCGTAGAGTTGAACAATCCTGACTTGCTTGGTAGTCCCATAGACATCGACAACAGCGTGCAAAGGCCCCTCTCTGTACGGAATGTCCTTGCCACAGACCCCCTGGTCCACTCCATTAATAATAAAATGCATCTCAGCGAGATCTGTCCCGGCCTGAGGCACATACATCACTCCAATTCTACTCCCAGTCTCTGTGGGCAGAGGGTCCTGGGAAATGTCGTTCTGGGCTAGGTTGGGGGTCAGTGCAGCGTAGGGAATCAATCCCCTCGATGTTTGCACTGTTACACCGTCGGTTTTTAGTTTTCTCTCTTGGAGGAGTATACTTTCACCTTCAGAAGCCACAAAAATAATTATTCATTTATAATAATAATGATAATTATTCCTTTATAAACGAATGTGTAAAAACATTCTGTGTAAAATGTAAAATGTAATTTGATGACGCTGAATATTCATGATTTTCTTCAAATTCTTCTTAAACAATTTAATTGACAAATTTGACGATTGAAAATGGTTGAATCTACACTGAGAAAAAAACGACAAAGTTCTCAAACAAGTCATTACAAGTCAACTTATCTTACTTGTGCCAAGAAGATAGTTTTTTGAAAATTATAAAAAAAGGATTTTTTGTGCCAAACATGCGGAGAGTGCGCCGGAATGGAAAATTTTTGTCGCAAAACCAGATTTAGTAGTTGAAAAAAAATTGCATTCTCTGTACACGAAAGAAACGTCGTTTCTACCACTACTCCTTCGTTGTTCGCTACTCCCATACGTATTTTGCTCCCGAAAAATCTTTGTTTTATGCGAAATAAGAGATAGTAGTTTTTCGTTTCGGCTGTCTAATAATCACAGACGAGAAATGAACCCTTAAATGAAACAATAATAATGATATGATAGCAATCTTGTAACTTAGGGAAAAAAAATTGGTGATAAATTTTCCTCTATATGAGATATTTTCATCCTAAAAAGGCACCGTCTGGTGTGGATTATCCGCTTCGTGAGCCAAATATTTCGTTGCTGTCGAAAGCAGAACCATTATTCATGTTTGAGACTTTCAAATTCGAACCAAACAAATTCTTTTTTGGAAATTTTCAACTAGCAATTTTGTTGGTGCAAACAAGACTTGTTTGACAACGTGTTTGTGTTTCTCTCAGTGTATAGGGTAGTCTGTACCAATCTGTAAAAGATACTTGGATATTCTTAAATTGACTTTTGAAAACCTTATTGAAACCTTTCCAATCTGACAACGAGGTATTATTTTTTTTTGTGTAAAATGAAATGAAGGGAATTGGCTGTCCATTCAGCTTGACTTTTTTGTTTAAATTTTCAATAAAAAAAGGAATCTTCTTTGATGCTCGATATCTTCTGATCAAGCATATTCAGGAGAAATCACTTTACTCATGTGTCCCTAAATCAGATGATGAACTCAATTATTCTAAATCTCATGTTTATGAAGATAATTTCTGGAGCGCTCAATCCCCTCAACGATAAATTCTCCTTCAAGGATCCCCTAAGCCCCGTTCCCCCATCCCCATACATTCAGAGATGCCTCCCAAATTGATAACAAAAAATTCAGCAATTACCATATCGTGTGATTCCCTCGATATTAACATTCGGACAGCTCGTGATAGCGAAGATCCAGCTCTGTCCCATCTTCACCATATTCGGCAATGCATACTGCGGAATCCCATTCCTATCAACAGTCCTAGGATCAATCTGCGTGAGTCCTAACCTCATGTGTCCACTCCACCCCCTCTCGTGCTTCTCAATCTCCAGGAGAAATATCTCACCAGGCTGGAGTGGCTTTTCGCTAAATGTCAGGGCATCTGCAAAGCTAGCTTTGCGATAGGCCACTGTATTGTCATCGTAAAGAATTATATTCGTCCCATGGCTCGGATGAAACCTCGTTATGAGTTTACGTGATTTTTCCGACATTTCATCGAGAACTTTTTTTATTTTTACCTTCAACGCGACGACTGTTGTTGACAATTCCCTGTTATTAATTGTTTATGAACTTTTCGAATCATTCAATTGCCACACATCACTTGAATAAATGCTCCACTCCACTGGAACTGAACGTTGGGTTTGTTATTGACAACAATCACGGCGAGTTATTGCTCCTCGCGGGTCAGTGGTTTTGACACTGATTAATTCATTAATTAATGCGAGTGGGAAGAGAATAATTACGGAATTGCCGAAAATGTTTTGTTTATTCTGGTACAGTGAAATATGCGACTGCCTGGACTGTCAAAAAAGTGTCGAACTGGAAGTTCGAGGGATATCGACCATTTCGATTATCGATTTTTGTGGGTCGATATATCGATGTTTAATCAGACGTTATGTTTAAGTTGTTTTTTTAATTCTTCTCTGTCATTTTAATGAAATGCAATTTTTAAGGAGTTGTTTTTTCAATTCTTCTCTTTAAATCTTGAATCAAGCTATTGCTCTTCGCGTGACAGGGGCTTTGCCACTGATTAATTCATTAATTAATACGAGTGAGAGGAGAATAATTACGGAATTACAGAAAAATTTTTGTTTATTGTGGTAAAGTGAAATATGCGACTGCGTGGACGGTAAAAAAAGTGTTGAAGTAGAGGTTCGAGTGACACCAATCACTTCGATTATCGAGTTTTTGGTGTCGATATATCGATATTTGATCAAATCTAATTTTAAGGCGTTGTGTTTTTTTAATTCTCTCCCTGTAAATTTTGAAATCGGAATAAGTGGGACAAAATGAACACTTTTGAATGTTTTTTTAATTATGATGACTCATTGAAATTTTTCTCATGTCGAAATTACAATTCTTCGTTTTTATGACGGGCCTAGACTGATTTAGATTGATTCATTTGTTTCTACTTTACGAAGATGCAAAGAAAAGTGTCTGTTTTGCCCCACCCCCTGCTGTGAACGATTTTTTTACATTTTAGAAATAAAGTTTTTATATTGATTTTCTCGGATCAATATATTTCACTCGAAATATCGATACTTAATCGAATTACTTTAATGTTTAAGGAGTTTTTTCAATTTATCATTTTAATTAAATTTTCGATTATGAAGTATTTTTTTACATTTCATAAATTATTTTTTTATATCGAATTCCCCGGTTCGATATATTCGAGAAATCGATATTACTTTCTATTGTCGATATTTAATACAATTTAATTTAAAATGTTTAAGAATTTTTTTTTAATTCATAGTTTTTGTTACATTTTCAAATATGAAGGATTTTTTTACATTTTAAATCATTTTTCATATCGATATTTTCAATATCGAGGGGCAGATTCGATCGAAGGGCCCAGTGGATCGCCCAGAGCTCCTCTTTACCCACCTCACGATAATTTCCCAATATGGCGGCTCAGTGCTACACGCGTCAAGTGCAATCGCAGCAGTTGTGATTTGTCCCAGTGAATTCTGCAGTTTTATTCAATTTGCGATCGATTTCACTGGTGTCGGGGGATATTTTAGCGCCGTGGGCTTATCGTGTGGGGTTTTTCAACGGTTTTATCATTGAATCCAACGGGAAAATAGCGTTCAAAGGCATGGGCAGGTCCAGATCGCGCAGTAAATCGCCGAGTAGACGGCGTCACAAGAGCAAACACTCGCGGAAGCGATCCAAGTCGAGAGAGAAACGGAGTAATAGTAAATATGCCGAGAAGCCGAAGGAGAGGAGCTCAAAGTCAAGGTAATTATGGGTAATTGAAGTTGATGGGGTCAGGGGAATGAAGGGTTGGAGAGGAAAACTGGCGGAGTGGGCGGAAGGTTCAAGCTGATTTTTTTATTGAGTCGGTTTTTTTTATCAATATCTCTCGAGCTGTTGAAGATAAGAAAATTTTTGTAAGAACCTTTTTTGTAGAGGGAAGTGAAGCTACAAAAAAGTTTGAACAAGAATTTCGCTATTTCTGTTGGTTTCAGAGATATTTTGCAAAAACTCAGTTTAATCACTTTAGTGGAATTGTTCATGATAGAACGAGGTGATGGACAATTAACCTCATTGAATCGTCAATATCTCGTGGGAAAATGGTGCGATTGAAATCAGTCACGTTTCATTTTAAAGCCTGAAAAAATACCTGCAAAATGAAAAAAAATATGGTGAATTTCACTCTATGGATCTCCAGTTATTGACGATTAAAAAACTTTCATTTTCTCCTGCAAGAATTTTATTCTGAAGTGGGTTGTTGATGAATGTCTCGAGATCTGTTGGAGATACCAAAATTTTCGTGAAGACCTTTTTTGTAGAGGAATGTGGGAGCTGCAAGAAAGATCTGAACCAAAATTTCTGTATCTCTATTAGATTCTGAGCTATTTAGAAAAAAATGAGGCCATCATCAAAATCCCTGCTATTCAGCAAAAACTCAGACTTCCTTCAATCGTTATAATCTGCTCACCAAATGGTACAATTCGGATGAGTCAAGGCTCGTTCAAAAGCCTGAACAAATGCCTTCAAAGAGGAAAAAAAATTGTTGAATTTCACTCTGCCAATCTCGAGTTATTGACGATTAAAACGACAAAATATGAAGCACTAGAAAATGATTACTTTTTTTCGCTCTTCTATCAAGAATTATTGTTCCCTCAGAAAACGATCGCATTCTCCGTCATTCAGCAGTGATTCAGATGTCTCTGACGATGTCCACATCGTCAGCCACAAGAAACGCTCCTACAGAGACAGAGATCGCAAGATGGACGAGGTTGAACGCCTGGCGGAAATGGAGAGGCAGAGGTAACTTGACACCTGCTTACAATGGTCTTCTCATATGGATCACAATACTCGATTCGTCCTTGAACCAATCGAGTGTGAATTGTTCTATAGTTTGATTTTATTTTTTTTCTGTACTTGTGTTATCAGGAAAAAGAAAGAATTAACGACCAATATCCTCGCTACGAGTGCACTTCGGTAAGAATACTATTATGTTTACGGGTGAAGGTTTTTTATGGGTATTACTGGTGTCTTTGTGCTTGTTATCATGGGGTTGAATGCTACAGAAGGAATGGTTATTGATTCTTTCTGATTACTGATTTTAGCCGTTTGATGTGTGTCTGTTGCATGAATTATTTGATAAAGGAAATGATGATTAACGTTTTTTTCATTCAATTTTTGTGTCTTAAAATTGAATGAATTTATATAATTTATAGAGTTTAGGTCATTTAAGCCAAATTGGAAATTCTATGTCTTCAGTAGTTTCTGAGTTATTCATCAGAGATTGATTATTTGAATAATAAGGAGTCAATTTAATTTTGAGAATAATTTTTTGTATTCAATACTTTTTTGGAGGCTGAGTAGAGCTGCAAAAATCTTACCATATGGTTTCAATATATTCATCAATGATTGATTATTTCAGTAGTAATAAATAAACTTAATTTTGAGATTAATTTTTCGTCGTTAAATGAAAAAAAGATGGAGATATTTTCATTCTTGTGCATATTTTCGAGGTTTATAATTTTTTTCAATTAATAAAGTGATGAAATAGCAAAATAGAAAATGAAATAAACATCCGTTCATTATTTTTCATTCAATTTTCACATTCATAATGAACAAAATTCACTCTATTAGTTTTTAATATAATTATCAATGATTGATTATTTCAGTAGTAATAAATTACTCAACTTTGAGATAACTTTGTCGTCAATACTATTAACTCTAAAGACAAAAAATTGCCTCAAAGACCATTTCTAGAGGACAAAACCTCAAAAAAAATTTTTTCATAAAAATCTCATTAACTTAATCACATTTCAAATAATCATCAAACCTTTCTACCCAAAAATAGAGCATTCTCAAATGTTTTATCCTAATGTCACCCCTGCCCAACAGACGACAACGTGAATCCGAGCAGAAACTCGTGGAGGAGGAGGCGGCCAAGAGGATCGAGGAGCTCGTCCAGAAGCGCGTTGAGGAAGAATTGGAGAAGAGGAAGGAAGAGATTGAAGCCGAGGTGCAAAGACGCGTTGAAGAGGCTAAAAGAGCCATGGAGCGTCAGATGATGGAGGAGATGGAGTGGCGCCAGGCTAAACTACGAGAGGAGGAGAAACGTAGAGAGGTAAGAGTAATCCAGAGAAACATACGGGGATATTGAGACGGTCAAACGCTATTTTAACGAGCAATTTGTAACGTCGAGGGCGTGATCCCCCATCAATGGAGAATAATGCACCTTCCCCTGGATTCTGCCAATCGTTTGCAAGTGGTGAAGACTATGTCCACCATTTTCTCCACTTGCATCTGCCAAACGAATCTTGGAAAAATCATTTTCCCTCCCATTGATGATGATCACAACTCGATTTTACCTTGCCAAAGCGTCTGCCCGAGTTTTCTCCACAAACAGATGAATTTTCATAGTCGACTGTGTGTCTCCACTCGAGGTTCACGAAAATCCAGGCGACGAAATTTTTTTTTCTTTTTTTTTCACTCAATTTTCTCACAGCAGGGTTAAAGGGCACGTGTCATGTCGTCTGCTGAACGACTCATTTACTCATTTATTTTTGTCCTTTTTTTTGTTCACTTTTACCATGTGTATATATGTACATGTCTCTATGCAATAACAAATATTAAATTATCTATTGATGTGTTTTTTTTATTGCGTCAATAGAACTTTCTGATCGACGTTAATACTTGATTTTTCAAAGACCATTTGAATGAACTGTGCGATTTTTCTGTTCGTGAATTGAAGCTTTATGAGCATTTCTTTGTTCAATATTAATAATGGAGTAGAATGAGACAAATGCGCTTGTCAGAACACATCGGAATTTCCTTTGAGTCGGGTAGCATCTGTTGATATTCCCCATTAAGAGGTGGAATGTTTTTTTTTTTTTTTCAATTTTCCCATGTCCTCGAGACACTCGTCAGGATGAATATCCTTGAGAAATGCTGAAGTTGAATGAATAATTTCTCAAGACATAGTGAATAATGGATGAGTCGAAACGGTTGGTAACGCAAACAGATTGAAATTGATTGGGAAATTAGGGAAATTGTTAAAACGAAGCCGAGAGAGAATAAAAAATAATATAGGTCGGCTTCCTAAACTGACTACCAACGGAAGATGCCGGTATAAAACTCACTGCCGAGTGATTGCTAGATGAAGAAGGCATCCCCTACGTGTGCTGGCGTTTGCTACATTCAGGTATTATCCAATTTATATATTCATAATTCTTTACTATAAAAAAAAAAACAGTTTAATTATTATTCAATGTTGATGATGAAAATTTATTAATTTGTTATCTGTCATTGGTAATGTTCTCTGTGACGTCGTTTACTCGTTATTGAGAGTATCTTCGTTGCGGGAATAACTACGATATACCACACACAAGCACGGCCCAGTGGAAAAAAAATTTTTTTTATTATTTTTTTTTGTATAGTTTTTCTCTATCACTTTACTAGCTTAAATTTTGTTTCTAGACCCTTTTGATATAGACCACCACTAGTGAAATGACGATAAGAGAGAATCGTCGTGCTTGAGCATTGAGATATTGTAGAGGAGGGGCTCGACGAGTGAGTGAGGATCAACTCATTCGTTTTATGGTGATATTACCTAGTGGAAGAGTTGTCAACGTCCTTGATGAATATCCTTTTGCCTCTCCTTTTGTTCCTCCACGTGACAGAGATTTTTTTTTCTCAGGGACATTTTGTCGTTGGTTGTGAGGCTGTTTGATAACAGACACGGTTTAATGATTTATTGTTGTGGGGGATGAGTTACAAGTGACCGAGAGTCAGGGCAAACGACAATTCTTTCGTCGTTTAAACGGTTTTAATTGTCGTTGTAGGAGGAAGAGCGGAAGAAACGCGAGGAGCTCGAAAGGATTCTGGAGGAAAACAACAGGAAAATTGAGGAGGCCCAAAAGAGATTGGTGAGTTGGGATTTGTTTTATTTTTGGAGGTAATGAAGGTACAGAAATTTTAATGGAAATACTTTTTAGAGATTTGGATTTTTTTTTAAATGTTGGGAGAAATTTTTTGAAGAAATTGACAACTGAATAATCATTTTTTATTTTGTTGAGTATTTTATTATCTCGATAACGTTTGGGTCAGAAGATTTTTGATGAGAATCAGATTCAAATTTTCTGATCTTCAAATCTTATGTACAATTTTTTTCTAAATAATTACAAAATTCAAAGCAACATATCTTCTACAATTCGACCATTAATATTTGTTTGAAGGAATTAAATACAAAATAAGATGAATAATTAAGGAAATAAATGGATAAAAATAAAATAAAATGAATTTTCAGGCCGAGGACAGACTGGCAATGGTCGAGGAGCAACGTCTCCTGGAGGAAGAGCGCCAGAAAATGAGAAAAGAGCAAGAGAAACGTGTGAAAGAAGAACAGAAGAAAATACTAGGGAAAAATAATTCGAGGCCCAAGCTCTCTTTTTCACTTAAACCAGTTACGTGAGTCTCGTGTGAAATAATTATTTAAGTGGAGTTCTCAATGTGATATTTCATTACGTTCCGAGACGTTTTTATTTTTCCCTGGAAGTGCACTGATTGAATTCAGCTGGATTGACCCAGCACTTTTGATTAATTAACACGAGTCGATCAATCGATGATTGTCGATGGTGTTAATTAACGAACTGAGGTGCTGGATCAAGTGGCCTGAATTAATTGTAGAGCTGAGATGATTCCTCGGTAACGCGTTGTTTATTGATGATGCCAATTATAATTGGATTATGCCAATGTAAATGATTATTACTCGTGTAATTGAGATAATGTGCTTTTAATCAATTTTTCGAATAATCGTAATCAAGAAGGATAAAACCGTAATTGTCGAAGTGAACAATTAGGTATTTATATAGGACTGTGGATATAATTAATGTTATATACATGATAAAGTTCAATTTTTTTTAATTAGTTCATCTTGTCATTTTTTACATTAAATAAATATTTTAATGCCATTATGTACAGAACAGATTGAGGAAGAATAAGCGAGAAAATATGATGAATGAAGGGGGCTTTTTTCTCATTTTGTCAATCCAAGACCCACTGCGTACATTTCAGCCATGTCTGGGGAGTCGTCTCTTCGTTTCATTCTGCTTGGAATGTTTCGGGTTTTTGTGCTCACTGACGATGAGCGAATCATTCGATTGCCTATTTTTGAGGGGAACAGGAGAGACGGCAGGGGGGGAACCTCCAGGGGGGCTGCTCCGTATTTTTTGTATTTGTTCATTGCGTTGCGCATTGCTACTCCAATTAGCTAAAATATATTTTTGTTCTTAGTGGTTTGGAGTTGGCAAGTGCGGTTTTTATTTTATTGAGCATTGAATTATTCCGAGAATTAGTGACTTTAGGGGAAATTTAATTGTTTATGAAAAAGACTTCTTGATATTTTTTTTTGAAGTCATTTTTTTGTGAAACAACAGAACAGTCATTTTTTCATCTTTCTGAATCTTGAATTATCTCAGCAACGAGTGGGTTTACAGAAAAATATCAGAAAACATTTTCTGTTGAAAATTTAATTCTCTAAAAAAAAGTTCTTCTGACATTTCCTCCTCAGGTCCTTCGTTCCCGAAATAAATAATAGTTTACCTTCTCTTCATTTGGAACTTTAGTTCTATCTGATTTATTAGATCTCGTTTCAACAGCAGTTTTAGCCTCTCGTTGACTCCTCGATATTCTGCCAGCAGCTGTCTGCCCCGGCGATAAATCCGTTGTTATTTTCTTTAATTTGCTGGGAGTTCTCAGTGTAGAGTTCGTTGAACGACTACTTTTTGGTGTAGTCTGCATAAGAACATCAAATTAAAACAATAACTTCAGTTACCACATTTCGGTGATTTTGTTGGGGAACATTTACTTGGGCAAGTTGAGTCGGCGATTTTGCTGTGGGACTGAGGCCACCGGAACTGCTGGGTATTATCGAGCCAGGTGGTGTAGCCTCGATTTTACCTTGAATTAATGCCAAGGGAGCTCTAGAGGATGATAGTACCGGGGAAGATAGTATCGGTGATGAATTGTTAGAGTCAATTGGCGAGTCGAGCTTGCAGTACGAGTGTAATTCACGATCTAGTTGAATTTCTAATTCCTCGATGAGGTCAACGATCACTGGCCCTATGTAACTGTTGGCAGTGGATTTTTTCCTGCTTGATAGGCAACTCTAAACCAACAAATTGAAGAATTAAATTGAAAATTACCTCAAATAACGAAAAAAAATTAAAAATCTGTCCGTGAAAACCATCGTATTTATTATTTATTTGATGAGAGTTTTGTAGGAAATTTATTTATTGATGGATATGAAAATTGAATGAAAAATATTCGGCACTTGTTTTTTTATTTCGATAAATAATTAAAAATTCATGAATCATTCAACTTTTTTTTTCAATTTTCTGTAATTTCTTGATTGTTGATAATTTTAAAAAATTGTACGCAATATTTTTCATCCAATTTTCATCATATTTAATTTAAAAAACCATAAAAAACCCAATTTTACCAATGGAAATTTCGGGAGAACTCTCGGATCCAAATGCGTCAATCTCCTCTCATTAGAACTAATTTTCGTCCCCTGAACAGACAGCGCGGCCCCTAAATACGGCTGGCAATTTGGCATCTTCTGTTTGTAAACAAGTTCAAATAATCCAGTGTCTGCATTTTTATCTTCGCGAAAATCCACGATAACTGCAATAAACGTGAATAATTGCTCTGTAAAATAACTTTGTTGCGGATGAGGTGAAAATAAAAGGGGATTTATCACCCTTGACAGTATCCTCCATCACTTGTTTGCATAATCGACTGGTAACGCTGGTGGAATAACTCATGTCCGGATGGCTATTGATTTCTATCAACCAGACAGAGAAGTCCTCCATGACCATGAAATCAGCTCCGTAAAGTTCAAAGCTGTTCTTTCGCCTGTCCATAGCCTCCTGACTTGCCAAAAGGGAACCGACGAGCCCTTGCTTCATGCCTGGGTATATCAACTCGTCCCATGCGGTATTGTGACCTTGAGATCTATAATTATTTCGTGAACAGATGAATACAAAAAATTATTTTTTACATTTTCATCTTAAATTGTGTTCCAGCGATATTTAATCAATCATTCAAGCGAAATTGATCTAGGAACAATTTTATTTTCGAAAGGAAGGGGTTGAGAGAAAAATACTAGATCTTTTTTGTAGAGAATTCCAAGCCCTACAAAAAATTCTCGCAACATTTTTCGCTACACCCATTAATTTCAGATATATTTGCAAAACAATGCAAATGAAATTGCTAACAAATTGCAATAGCTGATTTTTTTCTAAAGAATTTCGAAACCCCGTATCTCTAAAGGGAAGGGGTTTACAGAGAAATGTCACAAAACATTTTCATAGAAAATTTCATTCCCTACTAGAAGTTCTCGGAACATTTCCTGATAAACCCTTTAGTTTTCGAGATATTCCCAAAATAATGCAAATGAAATCGACAGAAAACTCTAATAATTGATACATTTTTGTCAATTTCCAAAAACCTTTAGCTTCAGAGGGAAGAGGATTATAGAGAAATGTCAAAAAAATATTTTATAGAGAATTTCACGGCCTAAAACAAGTTCTCGTAACATTGTTGACTATACCAACTAGTTCCCGAAGTATTCCAAAAACAATGCAAACAAAATTCATAAAAAATTAGCTAAATTTCCTCACCTCAAAAAATGTTTGAACGTCGTGGCATCCCACATATTATCCGGTGGCAGTGCTGAATTTCTCTCCGGACTATTTTTATATTTACATTGTACAGCATGATTACTAAGATGCACCGACTCGTGTAGATCACTGAGTCGAAATTCCTGGGAGCAAAACCTGAGATAGCTCTCCCTTGAATTTTAAAAAACAATAAAACAAATCACTCAATTATTATTTTCTGTCATTTCATTTAAAGGATTTTCTCAGAACTTGGAAAACGGGAAAGTGGGGAAAAATGGAGCTATTCAAGTATTCAATACACTAACAACTACGAATGTAAATGTGATGAAACTTATCTTTAATTTGTAACTGAAAAATTGTATTGAATATAATTTCTTATGAATTCTATGAAGTTTCAATCATAGAGAGAGAATTGTTAAAAAATTTTCATTTTATAAAACGTTTCATGAATCTTTTTTATAAACTTAGTGACACCTTTAATAATAAATTCAATAGTCTTTGCGACAGTGAACTCTCGTCTTCGACACAATAATTCGTTTAAAAATGAAAAAATAGTGCTCTATCTAGATGAAAATTTACGGTCTATTTTTTTCTCATTTTCGTGACAAGAGATTTCCTCAGTTTCGTCTGATCGGAAATGGTCAGTCATTAGTTCGCCATCAGTGGCGTGTAATTTACGTGTGAAATGACGGTAAATGCCCGGTAAATTTTTTTTCGCTGCATTCCTAATGACGATAAAATCTCAAAGGGGGTGATAAGCCATGACATTTGGGGGAACTGGGTTAAAGCTCGATCAATTCGTCGGGGTAATTTTGGAGTGGGTCGTTAACTGTTGAACCCCTCCCGCATAGAGTCACGAAAATTTCGCATTTGCGGTGAATCCGAACTTTTGGACCTGACCGGAAGCCATATTAACGTGCTACATCAAGGGGGTGAGGTATCTCCCCTGCGAGCCCATTAGTTATTTATAGAATAATGCCCAAACACGCGACCCAGAGAGACTAAACGCACCTGTACATCCACAGAGTCAGGGGTTGGGCGCACGTTACGATGAACCACTGTCTTATGTCGAATTTCGTGTTGTGGATTAATAATGGCCTCTCTGGAAAATGTTTCAATTACAATTTTGTTACCTAATTTCATTATGGGAGATCGCGATGATACGGAGTAATTACCGATGTATTTTTGTACGACGTAACGAGTGTCTGACTTGTTGGCTGGATTAACTTTAGCCACGACATCCTCGATTTTATTAATGAGAACAATTCCACGACCTCGACTTTTGTTTCCTGGCTTGAGGATCCATACGTTCGATACTCCGTCCATGTCGAGCTGGTGCCAGTACTTGCGGATCCGCTTGATAATGTGCTTTGAGGCTTGCAGATATTTCTGGAGAGGCGAAATGTGCGGGGAAAATTTATTAGAAAAATCTAGCGCTTTCTTTGAGAAATTCTATTGATATTACGCATTTTTACCCGCCCATTTTATTCAGAGATATTTGATAGAAAAAAAAATACATTTCGATATTTTATTTTGGATTTTGGATTTCATTTCTCATAATAATATTTTAGAAAAAAATTGGAAAATTCTGGTGCAAGAATTTTTATAGAAATAATACCAATGAAATGAAATTATCTAATTTCATTATGTAGAATATTTAAATAGAGTAATTCGTAGAGTTTTCATTGTATAGAGTAATTATATAGAGTAATTGTATTATATAGAGGAGGCTGGGGCAAAACGGACACTTGCAATGCTTTCATAAATGTCTAGCAGCCAGAAGCAAATTGATCAATTGAGTTCAATCTGGATTCAGTACAAAGGAAAAAACTCTACCTCCACAGAAAAAAATTTCTCCGTCGCATCGAAAACTTAATGAATCCATTTTGCCCCCCAATTATTTCTATGAACAAATAGATATTCACGAATAGCCATGTCCGTAAAATATAATTACTGTTAAATATTGTAGCCGCCAATTAGTTAATATCACTCAAATTTTTTAATTATCAAAGTATCAACAAAAGCAATTTAAATATAATACATTTATTAACGTAAGGGTCACATCCTTGTAATATTACACAAATTTAATATTGACGGGGATCCCCGTATGTATTGACAAATGCATGGGAAATTTACATGATTTTTAATAGAACTGAATCAAAAAACAAACAAAATTTTCTAATTCAATAGAATTTTTTGGCGAACGCACTGGCTTTTCTATTAATTTTGTTCGTGCGTTGAGATCATTTTTTCATTCATTCAATTGCTGTTGTGATAAACAATTCTATTATTTCAGTAGCGAAGTGGTAAAACGATACAAGTCAATTTTGGCTATTGACCCGTTTTCAATGAATATCTCGGAACCGAAGAGAGATAGCAAAATTTTTATCATAACCTTTTTTGTAGCGCCGATTGAGAGCTACAACAAATGTGAATACGAAAATTTCACTATCTCCCTTAGATTCCGAAATATTGCTCAAAAACTCAACTGGGAGATGAGTCGACGTGAACCGTTTTACCACTTCGCCACTGATTTCATTCCTTTAGTGAAATTAATTTCTATTTTATGGAGATGGACTCACATGTACGGAGACATTAGTCCCGAAGAATGTCTCCTCCTCATGAACAATTTTGTAGTACCAGGTGATGAATTGCTCCCACTGGTGGGACCAGACCCTCTCGCACTCTTTGTCGATGTCCTCGTGGGACTGGGCCTCGATGTAATCGCTGCAGCGTCTTATCGCGAAATCTAGAGCTTTCAGGGGGACTGTGCCGCCGGAGGACACTGCCAGGTTCTCACCCTCGTTGTTCACCTTCTCGATGAACCACTTTAGGATGCTTAAGCAGGCTGTATGTCTGCAGAAATGCATTTATGATCATTTTACGCGAATAGCAATGATCGAGTTCTCATTTTGATTATTTTTTTTTTAATTCACACCTGAAATCGTCGATGAACGCATGCATGTGGTCGGCCTGGCAGACGTTGTAGCACCTGGGGAACAGGGTATTTGCAACCCCAGGCTCGTAATACCAGTGCATTTGCCGCACGTTAGCGCAAAGTCCAACCTGGAGGGGAAAGCATTTCAAGAATTTTAGACGGATTGCTTTGAGAAAGTCTCGGGGAGTTTAAAACTGCTGTTCATTATTTTGAAGAACACTGTTGAAAATTCTTGGCTAAAATTTCCGGTGCGGTTTTTGGGAATTTTCATGACATTTTAGTTCCATCGAAATTTCGAGGAATTTGATCATTGGAAATTCAGAATTTCATGGAACAATTCTTGAGAACTAAAGTTCAGTTCAATTATTCGCAGAGAATTAGTGGAAATGAAAAAAATTCAGGTAAATATACTCTGAATATTCATTATTTCAGTAAAAATTCAAATAAGTTGAGACGTTCTCATTCCAATGCTGTCGAAAAATTTGGGGTGGAATCTGAAATTTCATGATTTTTTGGTTTCGAGTGGAAACATTGGACTCGTCAAATCCGAGATTTCCTGTTTTTCGTGTCAGGACCGATTCTTTTTAGGCGACAACTGAAAAAATAATTGTTCGAACAAATCCAATTGTTATTTAAAATATTCTTCCCAGAGATTGATTGCATCATCTGTTGACAAAGATTATTTTCAAACCAATATTCAGGGAACGATAAAAAAATTTAACGTCGCGGCAGTGTTTTAAATTTAATTCAATATCAATGATCATTGAATTAAATTTGAAATACATCGTCCTAGAATTTCCATCCGAAAGCAAATTCCCAATTAATTAGCAAAAATATCTTGACTATCTCGTGACGAAAGTAATTTTCCACTTGCTCCCCCTTAAATCTTACTCAATATCACTTCTGAAAAATGCTAGCCATTCATTTTTAATCTCCAGCAATGAGAATGACACCATTGAACGAAGAAAATGGCATTTCATATGCAATCCTAAACGTATTTCTCTCACTGTACCAATGAATAATTCATCATCACCTTGGAAGTGAACCCAGCCCTCGAGTATCGATTGAAAATAGTAGTTTTGTTGTCCTGACTGGGCCAGCCAGGCCAGTCAGACCCAGAGTTCCAGAGAAAATCCACCGTGTGATTTGCCAGCATCTTCGACATGAGGAGCCTCTGGCTCTGCTCATCCCTCAGATCCCCAATGCCCGATAGCAACACGACAGGACTCGTATCCACCCCCACGTGTCCTTGAACACTCTGCTGACCCCCCTGGCTCGGCAACTGCTGACCCTGCTGTTGACTGTCTACTGTAAATTTCGAATTTTGTAAACGTCGAGTCTTTCTCTCTGGCAAATATCTCACACGGTCACCATTGCTACTTCTACGGCACAATTTCTCAATCCATCCTCGTTTTAACATGCATTCACGCACGACCTTGGCACGACCGTAGATCATAAATGTGTGGTGTGACTCTATCGCCTCTTTAACAATCTGTTTTATGTGGAGGAAACGTTCTTGGAGGGTGGCAGGAAATGCCATTGTGGGTGCTGAGCCTGAAAATAAAAGAGTAGTGGAGGGAATGGAATATATGCTGAGGGAAATATTCATATTCTTGGAGATTATATTGGAATGTTAGAGAAATGATAAGAATTTTGCGAAAACGTGTTTCTTCCATGTTTTTCAATTTTAATTATTATTTTATTGGCATTGATATTCGATGGATTATTTTACCCGGGAGAGTATCTCAAATTTATCCCAGGAACAAGAAATAAAATTTAATCGCAAGATTAAAACAATGTTAATTCAAATGAGGCTACAGGATAAATAAAAAATTATTCTTCGGGTCAAATATTGAAAAATTATCACCCCTACGATACAATTGACCCCGAGGATAAATTTTACCCTGGGGTTTATTTGGATAACGGCTTGGTGCAACCGGGCCTAAAATTATAAAAATATACAATGACTCAATTTCCGAATCCAAGTCAGATAGCAAAATTTTTGTTATAACCTTTTTTGTAGAGCGAATTGAGATCTACCAAAAAGCATATTACGAAAAAATCTTTATCTCATGAAATATTCCTCGAAAACTCAGCCAAGAGCTAAGTCGACTTGAATATCGTTTTGCCACTTCGCTCCTGAATAGAAAAAGTAGATAAAAACGAAATTTTACTGATTTTTCAGAAAATAGTTTCATTGAACATTTTCTGCAAGACGAACTCTTAATAACGCTTCTGAATTCTTCAATAGACCCGTCCAAAAACTAGTAGAATTTTCTATGGAAAGTCAATACAACTTCAATTTCAAATTTCAATGGAACTTCAATTTCCCCCCGAATTCCCTGCATTTTTTTCGATTTTTTTTATGACATTCAAACGAGATTCTCACCGCTGATGGACAGCATGGCCCCGCTGATCTCCTCGTTATTATTGCTCTCCCTTCGCCCCCCCAGTTCTTCCACTTTACATGAACCATCCTCCACCTTCTTCGCCCTGCAGCTCTCCCCCGTCTGGACATCCTCGTCGTCATCCCTGGCGCTCATTCGTGCGAGCACGTGTCACCCCTTCACGACTCCATGCCCTCCCGACGATACCATCCACTTAAAATCGAGGTCATAATAATGCACATGAACTACCTGTTGACGGTACCGCCACTTCCCAGTAGTTTCATTCCTCCAAGATCAGACAGCATGACAGCAGTTCCCCCGAGAGGAGCGGAAAAATCCTCATTACCCCGATTAATTAATTTCCAGGGGGTGAGTTGAACTATGAACTAGGCAGGTACACGTTGGAGTCAGGCTGTCGCCCAGTGACTGAAACCTCCGGTGGTGAGTACACGCCAGGAAAGCCCTGACATTTGTTGTACGTAAGTGTTGGGATGTTGAATTCAACGGAATTCCGCAGGCGCAGCAGTCACCAGTGGAGGTATGAAAGGATCGAGGGGTTGGGGGATAAAATCAGGAGACAGAGGGGGGTGAGGAGGCGTACCAGGCACCCCCAGGAGACGGGTGGCCCTCGACCTAGCTGGATCGTGAATGAATCTAGGCGAAGGAACTCCTCAATTTTATTTTTTTCAGTTCATCTCGGGGAAGTTTATTCGAGTGGGCGCAACTTTTGATTGCTCAGGGAACCAGGATACCTTCAACTTCCCGAGTTGTTTCCTCTAATTCCTACGGCCTCTTGGCTATATTTAGGGACGGCCTATTGACCCCGCACTTAGTCGATAAACGCACATGTTAACTTTTCACTCATTTGGTGGTTATTTTGTCGGTGTTGTTGTTGTTCAGTTGGTTTTGGGAATTGTGTCCCGTAATTTGGGGAGAAAGTGATAGATTGGACTCGTGCACTGGAATTTGAACGGACTGATGGACGAGAATTAAGTGAACTCTGGGGTAGGGTGACGTGGAAAAAGAAAAAACAATCGTTAATTCTGCGTTCAGTTATTTGAGTGTTTTCAAAGGGGGCGATTCGGAGCTTTGTTTATGCTGGATTTTATTTAGAATTTTAAATTGCATCATTTTGTGATTATAATGCTCTCGCTTTTTTTTTAAATAAAGCACAATAATTCAATAAGCGTAGAAAACGGGAAAAACAATCGTTAATTCTCTATTCAGTTATTTGGGTTCTTTTCGAGGGGAGATAATTCAGAGTTTTGTTTATCGTGGCGTTTATTTATGTTATTGTTGAGGAGTGTTTTTGAGAATTTTACATTGCATTATTTTGTGATCATAATGCTCTCGCAATTCTTATAAATTATTATTATTATTATTATTATTTATTCACTGTTTTTTGATGCACGATATCATTTTCATAGGGTGGAATCCTGATAATACAAATGTAAATACAAAAAAAGAAAAAGAAAAAAAATATATATAGAAAAAATATAGGGATGAGCATTTGTATATCTTTAATGGAAACAAACAATTCTCGTATTAACAATAATTCCATTCAATTCAATTCAATCCATTGAAGAATGCTCTCGCAACTCTTATAAATAAAGTATAATAATTCGATAAGCAAAAAACCTGGACATTTTGCTCTGAAACCATTCGTTGATGAGATAATTCTGTAATTATGTCGTTAACGAATGGTTTTAGAGCGTAATATCAAGAGATATTTTTAGAAACTAAGAAAATTGATCTCGTGCACTGGAATTGAACAGACTAATGGGCGAAATTGAGCAGAAATCGCGTTTAGGTTGGCGTAAAAGAGGAAGAACAATCATTAACTCAGTATTTATTTTAAAACTGGTTTTATTGATAATATCATCATCATATAAATGTTAAAACCGATGCCGATGGACGGGGACATCGAGGAATATGCTCTAAATAATTTTCAATATTCAATATGTACAATATATCCGCAATATTTACAGTCACAAATTTTCAGTTTATTCGGTGAAGAGTTCGTTTGCAAGTCCTATTCTAATAGTTGACGATTTGAACAATGTGGAGTAATAAACTGCATCATTTTATAATCGTAGTGCTCTCATCATTCATAGAAACAATACAATAAATTTTTCGTTATTCATAACTCACTGAGATAATTCAATTCAATTACGACATCTTTCATTCCGCAATTGTTGTAAAATTAGGGGTTTCACAGTAAAATGTCAGAAAACATTTTTTGTAGTTGAGAAAATTTCCAGAAAAAAAATCTTTCCCCATTTTGTCCTGAAACCTTTCATTCTAAAGATAATTGGTTTATCACATGATTTCACTGGTTGACCTCCTTCACTGGTTCTGCAATTATCTAAAAAACAAGTGCTTTCACAGCAAAATATCAGAAGACATATTTTGCAGCTGAGAAAATTTCTAGAAAAAAGATCTTTCCCCATTTTGTCCTGAAACCTCTCATTCTAAAGACAATTGGTTAGTTGGATTCAATTTTTTCCCTCTCTACTGAAAATTTTTGGCTGAAGCTTTCTGTACATTTCCTAAAAATCTTTATCGAGTATCTATGGAATTTCAATTCTCTTCCAACAGAATTCAACAAAACAGCTAAGAAAATTGGACGAAAAAGTTTGAATCCATATTCTTCATCCTAAAGCATTTTCCAACAGAAATATCCAATCACCCAAAGCTAGTCAGTTCCCACCATTAATCAACCTAAAAACGCGCTCTAAACACCTCCAATCTCCCCTACCTCCCCGAAACCTATCCAAATTTCCAAAAAACTGAGAATCTTTCTCCCAAATCCCCGTATTCCCACGTTCCCCGAGCAGCCCTCCTTGCCCTCGAAATTCACACCCTCCCAAGCAGGGTATGTAAAAACATCTTCTTCCTCATCGACTTCTTAACAGCGAACTGCACGCAAACCAGCACAAGAATTCCAGCAGAGGCCACATAGAGCACAACCAAAATGCTGATATCAAAAACCGTGAAATCCCAGCCAGTCCTTCTCTGCACAGTCCTGCTGTCCCCCTCAGCAGCGAGAGGTTCCCTCCCAGGTCTGCCGACCTCCCCCTTGGGCGCCTCCTTGAGCCCATATTGAATCCCCCCGACCCCATGCTTCCTCTTCAGATACCTGAGGACCTCCTGTGAGTTCCAAAAGCCATCGGCGTACCTGCAGGCCTCGCACTGCTGCTGACTGGGATACTGAATCTTCGGATGGGCCGGGTCCTCAGTGGCGTCCCCAGCGAGCCTCTGGTTCACCTCGTTGTGGGCCCTCCACAGCCAGAGGACGGCATTGTCGACAGTCTCCACGTCGAACAAATTCCTCTCAGTGGCCATTTGCACAAAGTGATCAGCGCAATCAGCACAGCCGAAGAAATTGCTGATGTAGCCGTGCATGGCCCTCAGGACCATCCCCACAGATCGACTCCCAGGGTCCTCATCCTCGAAGGCCTCTGCATGGCTGACAGTCAGGGTGTGGAAGAGGGTCCAGAGGCCGCAGGGATACCCCCGAAACTGAGGTGAACTTCCACTGCAGCCGATCCACTCTCGATTCTCAGTGAACACTGGCGACATCTCCTGCTGGTGCAGCGTCACCAGACCCTTGAAGTTCTCACCGGTTATGCTGGGACGATCCGAGACGACGTTGTAAAGTTTCGTTAAGAATTCGGAGTTTCCTCGTCTCAGGGGGAAGTACCTCGAGAGGACCTTCAGGTAGGCCTTGAGGGCCTCCAGCTGGACCCCCTCGATCCTCTTCTTCAGGGGAATCTCGCGCTCCAGGGAGTACCTCAGGGCGTTCTCCAGGTCTGCCTGGTACAGGGCGTCCTTGGGGGGTTTATCGGGGATGTGCGAGTGCTTTATCTCAGTTGGAACGTCTTTACTCTCGATCGACGTCGGGATTTCAGGGCGTGCGGGCCTCTTGGGCTCGGAGATGTGCCCCTTGGATTTTAGAAAGGCCTGGATTGCTCGGGTGGTGCCCTCGCGGGTCGGCTCCGAGAGTTCCAGTCCGAGGGGACTGTTCTCTCTGTCTAGGACGATGAGCGATGGGAAGGTCTTGACTCGGTAAACCGAGGTCAGCCACACGTTGTCCTTCGTTACCCGGCGGATCTGGAGGGAGGGTAAGGTGTGGAGGTCGAGGATCACTTCGGAGCCGAGGTAGGAGGTGGCCTCCTCGAAGAGGAAGAAGTGGTATTGCACGGAGGGGGGCAGGGCTCGTATCCAGTCGTCAGAGTCGTTACTCCTGGAAATTGAGTAGTGTTTTTTTTTGTAAAGACGGGAGATTGTTTTGAAAAAAACAGATTTATTTATTTAGTTATTTATTTCAGTAGTGAAGTGGTCAAACGGTTCAAGTCGACTTATCTCCCAGTTGAGTGTTTGAGGAATATTTTCGAATGTAAGGGAGATAGCGAAATTTGCGTAATTACATTTGTTGTAGCTCTCAATCGGTTCTACAAAAAAGGTTTAGAAAAATAATTTGCTATCTCCCGTAGATTTCGAGATATTCATTGAAAACTGGTCAACAGTCAAAATTGAATTTTACTGTTTTACCAGTTCGTAACTGATTTATTTATTTATTTATTTATTTCAGTAGTGAAGTGGTAAAACGGTTCAAGTCGACTTATCTCCCAGTTGAGTGTTTGAGGAATATTTTCGAATGTAAGGGAGATAGCGAAATTTGCGTAATTACATTTGTTGTAGCTCTCAATCGGTTCTACAAAAAAGGTTTGGAAAAATAATTTGCTATCTCTCTTAGATTTCAAGATATTCATTGAAAACTGGTCAATAGTCAAAATTGAATTTTACTGTTTTACCAGTTCGTAACTGATTTATTTATTTATTTATTTATTTATTTCAGTAGTGAAGTGGTAAAACGGTTCAAGTCGACTTATCTCCCAGTTGAGTGTTTGAGGAATATTTTCGAATGTAAGGGAGATAGCGAAATTTGCGTAATTACATTTGTTGTAGCTCTCAATCGGTTCTACAAAAAAGGTTTGGAAAAATAATTTGCTATCTCTCTTAGATTTCAAGATATTCATTGAAAACTGGTCAATAGTCAAAATTGAATTTTACTGTTTTACCAGTTCGTAACTGATTTATTTATTTATTTATTTATTTATTTCAGTAGTGAAGTGGTAAAACGGTTCAAGTCGACTTATCTCCCAGTTGAGTTTTTGAGGAATATTTTCGAATGTAAGGGAGATAGCGAAATTTGCGTAATTACATTTGTTGTAGCTCTCAATCGGTTCTACAAAAAAGGTTTGGAAAAATAATTTGCTATCTCCCGTAGATTTCGAGATATTCATTGAAAACTGGTCAACAGTCAAAATTGAATTTTACTGTTTTACCAGTTCGTAACTGATTTATTTATTTATTTATTTATTTATTTCAGTAGTGAAGTGGTAAAACGGTTCAAGTCGACTTATCTCCCAGTTGAGTTTTTGAGGAATATTCTCGAATGTAAGGGAGATAGCGAAATTTGCGTAATTACATTTGTTGTAGCTCTCAATCGGTTCTACAAAAAAGGTTTGGAAAAATAATTTGCTATCTCTCTTAGATTTCAAGATATTCACTGAAAACTGGTCAATAGTCAAAATTGAATTTTACTGTTTTACCAGTTCGTAACTGATTTATTTATTTATTTATTTCAGTAGTGAGGTGGTAAAACGGTTCAAGTCCACTTATCTCCCAGTTGAGTATTTGAGGAATATTTTCGAATGTAAGGGAGATAGCGAAATTTGCGTAATTACCTTTGTTGTAGCTCTCAATCGGTTCTACAAAAAAGGTTTGGAAAAATAATTTGCTATCTCTCTTAGATTTCAAGATATTCATTGAAAACTGGTCAATAGTCAAAATTGAATTTTACTGTTTTACCAGTTCGTAACTGATTTATTTATTTATTTATTTATTTCAGTAGTGAGGTGGTAAAACAGTTCAAGTCGACTTATCTCCCAGTTGAGTGTTTGAGGAATATTTTCGAATGTAAGGGAGATAGCGAAATTTGCGTAATTACATTTGTTGTAGCTCTCAATCGGTTCTACAAAAAAGGTTTGGAAAAATAATTTGCTATCTCCCGTAGATTTCGAGATATTCATTGAAAACTGGTCAACAGTCAAAATTGAATTTTACTGTTTTACCAGTTCGTAACTGATTTATTTATTTATTTATTTATTTATTTATTCATTGTTAGATGCAGACTCAACAGCCCACAGGCTAATTATGGGGTCAAAAGAACATATTGGATATTTGCAGAATGTTACGTATTTATAAAATAACAGTTTTAAGAATAAATTAATATATGTAGGGGAGGGTCGGGCAAAATCTGACGTATTGAAATCTTTTCCAATTGTCAATATCTTCATTTATAAGTGAAGACAACTGGAGAAGATCAAGAAATTTCCTATTTTGCCCGACTCTCCCCTAAATCAAGATGCGGATGATAAAATTAGATATAGAAAATTCAAAAATTGAGGAGAAAAATTCAGATGTGGACTTTTCTGGATAGTTTGGCTTCGGAGGGGATGCATTGTATTCGTCAAATCAGGAAGTTACAATTTTTTGGGTCAGGAGAAATAATTTTGGCCTCAGGAGTTCGAATTTGCCTATTTTAAGGGGTAACAGAATGATAATTTTCGAAACTTTTAAACAAATTTTCTGTTGAAAGTTATCGATGTTTTTACTAATCACAGCACATTAATCTCTAGGAGACGATGATGAAGATCAATGTGCTTTGGGTTAAAAGAATATTAATAACTTTGAGCAGAACATTTATTTGAAAACTTCAAGAAAACGGTGACATTCTGGGAAAAAACATATTGACAAAAAAAATATATTGAAAATTACATTATTTCATTACATTATTTCAGTTATTAATTACATATTAATAACTGAAAGTGTGAATAAGCCGTTTTTCCATTGAAAATGCTCGTAACAAGTGAGTTTTTTCGGATTCAAAAAAAAATTCACAAAAATTCTCCGGATTTTTCAAAAATGACCTTGAATTCTCTTGGAAATTCGAGGAAAGAAGAAGAAAATTTCTGGAAAATTGTTGAAGCTTCTGGAGGTGGGTTTTCTATACTGGAGAATATTCGAAATTTTCCGAAAAAATTTGAGAAAATACGGCGTTTGTTAAAGATAAGACCATATGATGAAAGATGCAGTCATGTGCAGATTTTGTTTCTCGAGACGTTCGTCATCTGCGCTGAGAACGTGACATTCCGGGAGGGTAATATCAGTGAAAAAAATGTTCAGACGCAGGTACAGAACAATGACATTCCCATTACATCGTCATTGTCATTGTCTTTGAGAATTAATTTCTATCATTTTAGGATTGAATGGTCGAAAATACTGTTTTACAGCTAAAACACATTGATGGAACTTGGCGAATGTTGCGAATGATACTTTTTCATTCAACTTATAGTATTTAAGGCCCGGGTGGATTATCTTTCGAACGTTATCTCGATTGTTTTTCCATGTTTATAATGTAAAATATATAACAATTTCCATTGGATTTTACATCACGCAGGACTCCCTAACAATTATGATTGCATAATCAAAAAAACGTAGAAAAAAAAATGAACATTTTGGAAAAGTGTTTTTAATAAAGATTAAAAAATAAGTCCACAGAGGAAATAGTGAATGGCTAATTTATCATGGTACCTAACGATCTGACAGCCATTGACTAGTGTGACAAATGGAGACTTAACAGCCATAAGATACATCAAATTATTAACTTGCAATGTCCTCTCTATTGGGTTTATTTTCCAACATTATTCAAAAATCCTCTTTGAAAATGTTCAGCTTTTTTTCAACGTTTTTTTAATTGTACAATAATCATTTTTGGATACTCCAGGGCTATATAAAGCTGAATAGCAATTGGCGATCATTTCAGAGTATCAAATTTAAAAAAACAACCAAGATCACGTTCGAAAGATAATTCACGGGCCTTAAATAAGGTTTTACATCCCAGGATGTACCAGGGCTATTTCCTTAGAACTGATATGCTCCGGATTTATTTTCCAGGACTAAAGTAGCTCTACCCTTCAGCCGGGCTACGCTGTACTTTTCGATATTTTCAGTTTTAACATTTTTCAACTAAATTGCATGGGAAAAATTTGAAAAAATTCATACCCAGTCAGTATTTTCACATAAGACACTGGGTTAAATCCTGATTTTCAAACATTTCTTCTTTGAAAAATCAAAACGATAATTGAATTGAGGAAAAAATTAATTCCGAATCTAATCGAGTTTTCTGTAATTTTTTTGCAGTTTTCAATAATCTTTAAATTTACCGTAAGGGTAGAGCTACTTTAAAGGTCGTGTAATCCAATTTTTCTGAATCACAAGAAAAAATTAATGATAATGAATGAACGAAAAATACCTGTAAGGAGCAATATTGGGCCACTTGCTGCCCTTCCCCTCTTGCTGATCCTTCTGGAGCTGCTCTATCATTCCGTGCCTGACCTCCTCCTCCGACATGGCCTTCTCAACATCCACTCCGATGCTCCTGTCTCCAATCGAGAAGTACCTGATCGTGGGGTATCTCATGATCTCGTAATCCCGACAGAGGGGATTGTTATCGTCAGTAGAACAGTCGATAGCTGCCACCGTGACAATGTCACTCCATCCTGCAATGAACCAAAAGTGTTCAGGACCCTTCGACGACCCCCCGCCCTCTCCCAAAGGATCTACTTTGACAACAGGGGAAGGTGCACTGAGAGGACTAGAGTTTTTTGGGAAGTACGTCTTCACTTGTACACTGTTAAACATTTTCGCCTGAATTTTCTGTGCCGAATTCCGGAAATTTTTATCGTGTTCAAGTTCCACTGAAATTTCCGGAAATCTTGCCATTGAAAAATCAAATATTCCATTGATTTTCTGTTCAAATGATCTGAAAATAAATAAAGTACTCGATTTTTCAGTTCAATTATTCTATGAAAATTCAGAAAAATCAGGAAAATTCAGGGAAAATGGAAAATTCATCTCATTTTGTGAAATTTCCATCTCACTCTCACTTAAAACTAATGAATTTCCTTCAATTCTCCGCAAGACTAGAAATTTCATAACCGTTTTTCCCCTAAATTCAAACCAATGTTATGAGAATTAGTATTATATTAATCCTCCTTGATTTTTAAGGCTCCAGAATAATCTTGGAAATGAAAAAATCTTGGAATTTCTTGATCTTACTCTCACTTAAAACTCCTGAATTTCCTTTAATTCTACCTAAGACTAGAAATTTCATAACCGAAAAAAAACAATATTTTTTTTTGTCAATGCTTTCTCCTAAATTCGAATCAATGTTACTCTTATGAAAATTAGTATTATATTAATCCTCCCTGATTTTTAAGGCTTCAGAGTAATCTTGGAAAGGAAAAAAAAATCTTGGAATTTCTTGGAATTAAAAACGTCCCATTGTGCCCCTTTCTTCCTCAAGAGGAGGTGAAAAAAATGAAAATCCTTAAAATATCAATATCTCCTGTCGAAATTATGTGATTAGGACGAAACAAGCTTCAATTTACAGCACTCAACAAAGTTTTCGAAATGACAACAAATCTTAGGATTTCAGTCTACTAATCTCGAGTTATTGACAATTATAAACGACCCATTGTGCCTCTCGGTTCTTAAGAGGGAAGATAAGATAAGAGTAAACATCGTCAAACCCACAATATCTCCTGTTGAAGTGACGCAATTTAGACGAAAGCTTTACAAAAATCATCGAAATGAAGAAAGAATCTTTGAATTTCACTCTATTGATCTCGAGTCACTGAAAATAAAAAAATCCTACTGTGCTTCTGTCTGTCCTACAAAAAGGTGAAATAAAATGCACTTGGATCATCAATATCTTCCGTCGAAATGATGCAATTTAGCTGAATCAAGCTTCATCTTGAAACCCTCAAAAAAATCTTAAAGAAGAAAAAAAAATTTAACAACATCATTGACAATTGCAAATGCTCATTGTACCTTTCTCAAAAAAATCTTCAAAACGAAAAAAAATCTTTGACAACATTACTGACAATTACAAATGCTCCATTGTGCCTTCCTTTTCCTGAAGGAAAAGATGAAATAAAATAAACCCTTAACTCATCAATATCTTCTGTCAAAATGATGGAATTTAGCTACTTCAAGCTTCATTCTGAAGCCCTAAAAAATCCATCAATATAAAAAAAATCTCTGACAACATTATTGACAAAAAAAAGGCAATGGGACCGAAAAAAAACCCTTGAATCATGAATATCTTGCGTTGAAACAATGCAATTTAGCTAAATCCAGCTTCATTCTGAATCCCTTAAAACATCAACAAAACGCAAAAAAAAAATTGACAACATTATTGACAAGTATAAACGCTCTGTTTCATCTCTGCCTTCCTGAAGACAAAGGCGAAATAAAATAAAATCCTAAATCATGAATATTGTCCGTCGAAACGACGCAATTTAGCTAAGTCCAGCTTCATTCTGAATCCCTAAGAATCCATCCATATGGAAAAAAATCTCTGACAACATCATTGAAAATTATAAATGCTCGACTGTGCCTTTTTCTTCCTAAAGACAACGGTGAAATAAAATAAACCTTAAATCACCAATACCTCCATTCTGAAAAAAACCTCTGACCTTCCCTCCACCGATCTCACCCTATCAACAATGAAAAACTCTCCATTACCCCGGACCCCTAAAACTCAAAATTACCAACGACACTCTTGGCGACGGCCTTCCACGTGGGTGCGAATCGCTGACAGTAACCGCACCAGCTATTATAGAACTCCACAAGCCACGCAGTTGTCCCATTGCCAATAGCACTCTTCAAGTTCGTGTAATTAAGCACAACAACATCATCACTGGCACTGTACAGCCCATTCTTCAGCTCCTCGTACTGATCCTTGGAGCCAATGACCTTGCACTCCGAATGATTAATTGTTACCACATACACGATTACGACTATCACAACACTCATGAGCTTGTTAAACATCTCGTGTTGTTGTTTATCGATGTAACGAGTGTCAAGTAACCTCAAATGTTCTTTGAGCGGCCGAAGTTTCGTCACTGGCGTGTGCAGTGGCGTAACACTGTATTAAACACTGTAATCTACTGGTGCTGAGGTAAATAATACGTTTTGACAATTGACATTGAACATGCGAACGAGTGCGATTGTTCAGCTGTCATTGTTACCGGGGAAAATCATTTTGTCATTGAGATTGAGGCTCTGCTGGGAGCCTCCGGTGGGTGAGTGACGCGTGACTCCTCTCGGACGATACCGTTAGGCCGGAGAAATGTGTCTCCCTTGCAGACGTGGTTGGAGACTCCACGTCCCCTCTCTCCAACCAGTCGAGAGATAACTGTTCTTCCAAGGTAGTCATGGCATTGTTTTAGCGTCTAGTCAACGATTCTGCTCTCTTTAATCTCTCGATAAGTGCAGATGATAGCGATTGATAAGTGATATTGCAAGATTGAGGGGCGAGGGCTCATGAGCTCAGTGGGATCCAAGCCATGGAGGTGAGAAACAGGAAACACAGGACCCTGGAGGCCAGGGGGAGCAAGGAGATACGGGAGTTTGGGGCGAGGAAGGACGAGGATGCAGGGGTGGAGAGCACTGAGGACACTAAGGTGAGTTTAGTGTTGTTTTGGTGATAACAGCTTTGGGGAGCTGGGAATTCTGGGTGTCGATGGGGGGTTGACATTTTAAAATGCCACATTGGGATGCTGTCTTGCTCAAGGGGAAGATGAGGGAAAAAAACTCCTTAAATTATCAATATCTTCCGTTCAGTGATATCATTGGGATGAATTGGTTTGCATTTTGAAGCCTTCAAAGTCATCTTAGTAACGAAGAAAATCTTTGAATTCCATTATAGCAATCTTAAGGTATTGACAATCAAAAACACTCAATTGTGTTTTTATCTTCATAAGATAAAGCGTCCTTAAATCATCAAATTCTTTTGTTGAAACGTTTATTGTTGCTTAGATGATCAGAGCTTTGGGGAACTGGGAATTCTGGGGAACGATTGAGAGGTTGACATTTTAAAATGCCACATTGGGATGCTGTCTTCCTCAAGGGGAAGATGAGGGAAAAAACTCATATCATCAATATCTTCCATTCAACAATATCATTTGGATGAATTAGTTTTTATTTTGACGCCTTCAAAAAAATCTTAGTAGCGAAAAAAAATCTTTGAATTTCACTCTAACGATCTCAAGTTATTGACATTCAAAGAGGCTCCTTTTTCTTCATGAAGAGAAATGTGAAATAAAATAAAATCATCCCCTTAAATTATCAAAATCTTCTGTTGGAAAGTTGAAAAGTTTCTTATTATTTAAATAATGAAGATCTTTGGAGAACTCGGAATTCTGCGCTTCGAGTGGCAGTTTGGCAATGAAATGGTGAAGTGTAAAGTTGGATTAATGAAGGCGACATTTGATTGAGGGCTTCATCAGTATCGAGATCTTAGAGAGATGATCGAATTTTCCGAGACATTCCGTTATGGAATTGTCGGTTATGGAAATGTTGAGGGAACTTTGTTCTGAATTTTTTACGGAATATAGAGAAATCCTGAGGAATTTTATTGACTGAAATTGAAGCTAAGAAACGCCTTTATCGAAGTTTTCTTATCTGTTTGATTTCGAGATATTCTCCGATTGCCAATCTGTTCTGAAATGCAATTGATTTTTCTATTGGGATTGATTTCTATTTGTTTCAATTTTTCATGAACATCTCCGAATGTGTGAATTTACAAAACAACTTATAATACACCAATCTTTAATATTACGGGGGCTATAATTAGACAAAATTACTACTTCCCATCTTTATTTTTCTCACCTTATCGTGCGTACCAGAATAAAAAAATAACAAGTGGAGATAATAAATGAGAAAACTGACACTCAGAACATTCGATCTTTGAACTGTATGACCCTCAACACAATTAACTCTTAAAAAGTGAAACGTGAAGTTGATTTATCACCATATTTCCCCAAGATTCAGCTATTTTAACATAAGAGAGTAAATAAATAGGGGACATTGGGGCAAAATGAAATACTCCAAAAATTACGATTTGACGCAATTTAAGCAAAAAAAATTCCCTTTATTAACTTTTGTTTCTTAATGTTTTTTATTATTGAAATTACTGATGAGAATAATAATTTTCCATTCACTAAATCACTACGCTATATTGGGGTTTTAAATATCAGTGATTTTTCGCACCGCATCTTCTTTTCTACCGACGGCCCGGAAAAAAAATCTTTGAAATAATAATTAAAATAATAATAATTTTGCAATAATCATTTGAGAATAATAATTTTCTATTCAAAAAAATCATTATTTTCTATTTAAAAATATTATTATTCTGTACTGATGACTCCCACTAATAAAAAAGTTAATTAACAAAAGTAAATAAAATTTTTTTTTGGCTCGAATTACATCAAATAGTCATTTTTCGGTTGTTTCATTTTGCCCGACTGTCCCCTAAATAAATAAATAAAATACATAATTCCCTCCAGATACCCCCGAACGGGGCGTCCCCCGCGCTCCCGCAGCCGCAGGAGTTCTCCCCCAAAAAAATCGTCGTAAGTCTCGAGTTGGACGTGGTGGCGCTCGTCCTGCTGCTCACGGGAGTCCTCACAAGGCTGTACCGCCTGGAGGACCCCCGGAGCATAGTCTTCGACGAGCTCCACTATGGCAAGTACGTGGGCCTCTACATGAAGCGCACCTTCTTCTTCGACTCGCACCCTCCCCTGGGCAAGCAGCTGATCGCAGCAGTGGCCTACCTCTCGGGTTTCGACGGCGACTTCAAGTTCGACAGAATCGGCAGCCCCTACGCAGACTCGGTGCCCCTATTCGCCCTGCGGATCGTCCCAGCCTTCTTCGGAAGCCTGATCCTCCCCACAGTTTACCACTTGGCCCTTGAGCTCGGCATGAGGCCCTGGAGTGCTGCAATCGCAGGTCTCATGCTCCTCCTGGACAACGCCTTCCTCACGCAGTCTCGCTTCGTCCTGATGGAGAGCATTCTCATAGAGTTCTCCCTCTTCGGCCTCTTCTGTGCCCTCAAGTTCCGGAAAATAATGGACGACCCGATGAGGCTCTCCTGGTGGCTCTGGCTGACCCTCTCCATCTCCTCCCTGACCTGCGCCCTCTGCGTCAAGTACGTCGGCGTGTACTCCCTCATCCTCGCCCTGGTGATCGTCACCCAGGACTACTGGAGACTTCTCGCGAGGAGAACACTCTCCAATGCGGCACTCTGGGCGCACCTCTTCGCGAGACTTCTCGTCGTCACTCTCGCCTTCTCCACGGTCTACTTGGGAGTCTTCTACGTCCACTTGTCGGTCCTCACGAGGGCTGGACCCCATGACGCGGTGATGACGTCGGCCTTCCAGGCCAGTCTCGAGGGGGGTCTGGCGAGTATTACCAAGGGCCAGCCGTTGGAGGTGACGCATGGCTCGCAGATCACACTCAGACACACCTTCGGGAGGGCCTGCTGGCTCCACAGCCACAATGCTGTCTATCCTGTCAGGTATTTTCATTCATTTATTTGTTACTTCTTGATTTATTCAGAGGGGTTGGGGGGTACTGTTGGCTTTTTTTTTGAGGTTTTAATAATAGTAGTTGAATTTTTAATGGCGTGAATTTGGACTCAATTTAAGGTAAAATCGTTGGTCTGAGGAATTTTCATTCATTTATTATCTAATTTTTTGATTTATTCGGAGGGGTTTTGATGGGGTTTTTGGAAGGGTACTGTTGGATTTTTTTTTGAGATTTAAATAATAGTGGTAAATTTTTTATGGTGTGAGTTTGGATTCAATTTAAGATCAAATCGTTGATCTGAGGCATTTTCATTCATTTATTATTTCATTTCTTGATTAATTCGGAGGGGTTTTGAAGGGGTACTTTGGTTTTTTTTTAGGTTTAAATAATAGTGTTCGAATTTTTAATGGTTTGGATTCAATGTGAAGTCAAATCGTTAATCTGAGGTATTTTGATTGATTTATTATCTCATTTCTCCGTTAATTCGGAGGGGGTTTGATGGGGTTTTTGGAAGGGTACTGTTGGATTTTTTTTTGAGATTTAAATAATAGTGGTAAATTTTTTATGGTGTGAGTTTGGATTCAATTTAAGATCAAATCGTTGATCTGAGGCATTTTCATTCATTTATTATTTCATTTCTTGATTAATTCGGAGGGGTTTTGAAGGGGTACTTTGGTTTTTTTTTAGGTTTAAATAATAGTGTTCGAATTTTTAATGGTTTGGATTCAATGTGAAGTCAAATCGTTAATCTGAGGTATTTTGATTGATTTATTATCTCATTTCTCCGTTAATTCGGAGGGGGTTTGATGGGGTTTTTGGAAGGGTACTGTTGGATTTTTTTTTGAGATTTAAATAATAGTGGTAAATTTTTTATGGTGTGAGTTTGGATTCAATTTAAGGTCGAATCGTTGGTCTGAGGCATTTTCATTCATTTATTATTTCATTTCTTGATTAAATCGGAGGGGTTTTGAAGGGGTACTTTGGTTTTTTTTTAGGTTTAAATAATAGTGTTCGAATTTTTAATGGTTTGGATTCAATGTGAAGTCAAATCGTTAATCTGAGGTATTTTGATTGATTTATTATCTCATTTCTCCGTTAATTCGGAGGGGGTTTGATGGGGTTTTTGGAAGGGTACTGTTGGATTTTTTTTTGAGATTTAAATAATAGTGGTAAATTTTTTATGGTGTGAGTTTGGATTCAATTTAAGGTCGAATCGTTGGTCTGAGGCATTTTCATTCATTTATTATTTCATTTCTTGATTAATTCGGAGGGGTTTTGAAGGGGTACTTTGGTTTTTTTTTAGGTTTAAATAATAGTGTTCGAATTTTTAATGGTTTGGATTCAATGTGAAGTCAAATCGTTAATCTGAGGTATTTTGATTGATTTATTATCTCATTTCTCCGTTAATTCGGAGGGGGTTTGATGGGGTTTTTGGAAGGGTACTGTTGGATTTTTTTTTGAGATTTAAATAATAGTGGTAAATTTTTTATGGTGTGAGTTTGGATTCAATTTAAGGTCGAATCGTTGGTCTGAGGCATTTTCATTCATTTATTATTTCATTTCTTGATTAATTCGGAGGGGTTTTGAAGGGGTACTTTTGGTTTTTTTTTTTGGTTTAAATAATAGTGTTCGAATTTTTAACGGTTTGGATTCAATTTGAAGTCAAATCGTTAATCTGATGTATTTTGATTGATTTATTATCTCATTTCTTCGTTAATTCGGAGGGGGTTTGATGGGGTTTTTGAAAGAGTACTGTTGGATTTTTTTTGAGATTTAAATAATAGTGGTAAATTTTTTATGGTGTGAGTTTGGATTCAATTTAAGATCAAATCGTTGATCTGAGGCATTTTCATTCATTTATTATTTCATTTCTTGATTAATTCGGAGGGGTTTTGAAGGGGTACTTTGGTTTTTTTTTAGGTTTAAATAATAGTGTTCGAATTTTTAATGGTTTGGATTCAATGTGAAGTCAAATCGTTAATCTGAAGTATTTTGATTGATTTATTATCTTATTTCTTCGTTAATTCGGAGGGGGTTTGATGGGGTTTTTGAAAGAGTACTGTTGGATTTTTTTTTTAGATTTAAATAATAGTGATAAATTTTTAATGGTGTGAGTTTGGATTCAATTTAAGGTTGAATCGTTGATCTGAGGCATTTTCATTCATTTATTATTTCATTTATTGATTAATTCGGAGGGGTTTTGAAGGGGTACTTTTGGTTTTTTTTTAGGTTTAAATAATAGTGTTCGAATTTTTAATGGTTTGGATTCAATGTGAAGTCAAATCGTTAATCTGAGGTATTTTGATTGATTTATTATCTCATTTCTCCGTTAATTCGGAGGGGGTTTGATGGGGTTTTTGGAAGGGTACTGTTGGGTTTTTTTTGAGATTTAAATAATAGTGGTAAATTTTTAATGGCGTGAGTTTGGATTTTAATCAAATCGTTGATCTGAGGCATTTTTAGTGATTTATTATCGCATTTCTTCGTTAATTCGGAGGGGGTTGGATGGGGTTTTTGAAGGGACACTGTTGAAATATTTTTGAGATTTAACTAATAATGTTTGAATCTTCAATCTCGCGATGCAAGTGCTAATTTACAATATTAAAAGGCTAAGTAATAATAACTAAACAGTGAGGAAGACCTGAGGGAGCTAAAATAATTTAGCAAAACATCACATCTTTCCGCAATTCATTAGAGTTATTTTATTCAAATCATCTCATCACCAGTATTTTCTCAATTACTTTGTATTATTAACTTTGCATTTACTTTCCTTCCATTTCTTGTTTTTCATTTTTATTTTTCAACTATTGTTTTTTTTTCTTCGTTACTCATAGATATCCCGACGGAAGAGGGAGTTCTCACCAGCAGCAAGTCACCTGTTACTCCTTCAAAGACGTCAACAACTGGTGGATCGTCAAGAGACCAGACGTGACTGATCTAGTCGTCACGAGGCCAATTGTCCCACTGAAACATGGAGACGTGGTGCAGCTGGTGCACGGCATTACCTCCAGAGCCCTCAACTCTCATGACGTCGCAGCCCCTATGACCCCCCAGAGCCAGGAGGTCTCCTGCTACGTCGACTACAACGTCTCCATGCCGGCGCAGAACCTCTGGAAGATCGAAATTGTCAACAAGGATCAGTCTGGAGACGTGTGGTATGCGATTCAGAGTCAAGTGAGGCTGGTTCACGTGGGGACTGAGTACGCCCTGAAGTTCAGTGGCAGACAACTGCCGGATTGGGGGTTCAATCAGCACGAGGTGGTGGCCGAGAGGTTTGTCGAGCAGGATGATGCTGTCTGGAATGTTGAGGAGCACAGGTAGATATCTATTTTATTCTTATTTATTCATTATTACCTCATTCATTCTTCCTAAAATAAATGAATCATAAAATACAATAAAATTGAATGGCTAATTTTTTGAGTTTCATTTCATATTAAAATTCTTGTTTTATTATTTATATTTTTCGTTTTATCATTAGAATTGTTCATTCATTTATTCTTGTTCCTTTTTGTTTATGAAATTTTACTAGTCAATTAGCTTCTAAAAAGGAGATAGTACACCCGGAGAAACTGTTTATTGCTTGTCAACAAATTTTATTTGAATCAAATAAATAGTTTTTAAAATATAGACGAATATCTCGATGATCGAAATAACGATTTCATCAGTTAAAAATGAAATTATTGGTTAGATGGCGAAGAGAACGAGTTTATTAACATGTAATAATTTTTTATTTGGGTCAAATGAATGAATGACTTAAGAAAGTTATCTAAGGATTTGTTTGGAATGAGTGAATTTCTAAATTGAAATTCATTTAAAATGAATACGAAAATTTTAAATAAACAGTTTTATTCAATTCGAATACTTCATTGTCCTGGCTGTAGTCGATGTCATCAAATAGAGAATTCCGCATTTATCTAATTGGAATGTTTAATCAATTTCGTTTTCTCTTTCTCCAATCGACTTCAACTCATCTTGAACATTCATCAACAATGGACATGAACCAGAACATTAATCTCCAATACATTTATAAAATAACTTATTCACAAAAACAGATACACAAAGAGTGAGGACCAGAAGCAGAGGGAGCGGGAGCTCCTGAACGCCGAGATGATACCCCTGACGGCGACAAAATTGAGTTTTTGGCAGAAGTTCATCGAGCTGCAGATCAAGATGCTGTTCGGGGGTCAGGAGAACCAGAACAGTCACATGTACGCCAGTGGGCCGCTGGAGTGGCCCTTCATGACGAGGGGAATTGCGTACTGGGTGGCCACCGACAGCAACGCCCAGGTTCACCTCCTCGGGAATGTCGTTGTCTGGTACTCTGGCACCTTCGCCGTCTCGGTTTACACTGTCATCCTCCTGGGGTACCTCATGAGACGACGAAGGCGTTGCTTTGATATTGGGGAGGACGAGTGGAACAGGTTCACTGGGTTTGGCCAGGTGCTTCTCACAGGATATCTTCTTCATTATCTTCCGTTCTTCTTCGTGGAGAGGACACTGTTCCTTCATCATTATTTACACGCCTTCGTGTTTAAGGTCATGCTCACTGCTGGGGTCATTGATCATGGCTACTGTGTTGTCAGGGGAAATTGTCGAGGGGTCGTTCTCTCGATGGTTAGACTGATTATTGTTATCTGGGTGGGGGGAATTGTTTATGTCTTCAGGAAGTTCTCGGTCCTGAGTTATGGGATGAGTCCACTCACTGCTAAGGATGTCATGAAGCTGAGATGGAGTGACACGTGGGATTTTATTGTTCATAAAACGTGAAGTGGGAGAAATGGAGAGTTTTTAATGAGTTGAGAACAATTACGTCAGTTAAATCAATTTGGAGAGATTTTTTTTTGGGTAAAAAATAAATTGAAAAATTCAGGGAGTGGGGCAGGCATTAACATGACATTGGGGGAATTTTTAGTGGATGGGGATGAGTGTTTCACGATGCAAGTGATAATTATCGATATTAAAATCTTTGGTAAGGGCACGATTAGACGGTAGTGGAGTCCTGAGCCTGAGAAAGCTAAAATAATTTGACAAAAGGGTAGATTATAATCGTTAGAACAAAATGATAGAATTGATAAAATAATTTAGGCAAGATTTAGGGTTTTTCTAATGTGCCCGGAACTTCTCAATTTATGGTATCGTAATGCAGATGACATTCATCCCATCCATTACTGGATTTAATTGAATAACTCCGTGTTCCAGAAATAACAAGAACATTGATTAAATTAAGAATACGACTTTTTGATAAATTATTTCATTCTTCGCTTGCTTCTGGATCAACTGACAATTTGCAACGCAAAAATCCTAAACAATAATAATTAGAAATTAATTAAGTCAGAAGAGAGACATCAGGCAGCTAAAATAATTTAACAAAACGTCACGTTCTTTCAAAATTTAATCAATATTTTTGTTATTTTCCCAACATCCACTGAATTTTTGCATTCATTTCGTCGTAACTCCTATTTCATCAATAATTCAATTGGTTTCACCAGTGTTAGAACAGTTAAATTGAATAACTCAATGGTCCAGAAATAACAAGAACATTGATTAAACTACGAGTGCGAAATTTCGTTAAATTATTTCATTCCTCGATTGCCTCTCAATTCAACTGACAATTTGTAACACACAAATCCTGAATAACAATGACTAGAAATTAATTAAGTCAGAAGAGAGACCTCAGGCAGCTAAAATAATTTAACAAAACGTCATATCTCTTCGAAATTTAATCAACATTTTTGTTACTTCTCCAACATCCACTGAATTTTTGCATTCATTTGGTCGTAATGGCGATGATCGCAGCCCTTAAACTCCCATTCCATCAGTAATTCAATGGGTTTTCAATGTAAAAGAAAACCAAGTGTTCATTTCACTTCATACGTGAGTGATATTAACGAATTAAGTGGCACACTGTTGTTAGCACTGGACAGTTTACATGAGATCCATCTATATATTTTTTAATAACTCTTTTTACATGATTAAAATCATCTCAACTTTCACATTATAATATACATATCATTGTACTAATTATCGCATACAGTTCAGGTTCAGATTGCGAATTGCCTCGAATTCTCAATCTTTCGACTTGTGCATTGGCCTTTTTCGTTATTTCGGATAGTTTTTTTCGTTTTTTTTAAACAGTGATTTACATATGCACAATTTTCTATGTAGATCATGAGTTAATCTAGGTTTTTCTTATCGATACACGAATATACATGAACATTGCCACTTCGTATTATGGGATTTCAATTCAGAAGATAAATGAAGATATATAATGTTGTATTTTTGGAAATCTAAGCAGCTGTTGAAGTCTCGAACGGTCGATGTATTTTTTTAAATTAATATAAAAGATGTTATTGCGAGAATCAATGATATTTACTACTGATTAACGAATTTAATAGTCTCCTCGAATTCATTTTTAAATAAACAATTTAGTTCTTTATTTTCTTTTACCAATTTGGTGACTGATTTGTGCTGAACCTCAATGCTGACTCTTAAATAGAAGAATGGACGTACGATAAATATTTTTATAAACACGAATTCGTCATCTTTGTACAATCAAATTTACAATATCAGTAACGCATTGAAAATTTCTCCTTCTCCTCAATTGACATAAGAGAGAAATTAAAAATTGAATGATTGACGGTGATTTTGGGGGGCAATTGAAATAAGGCAGGTCTGTATCATATCACAATGGTCAAGTGTAGTTAACGGTCTAGATTACGTCGTCTTTTTTTAAAATTAAATTAGTGGTAAGTGAAGACGATTGAACGGATGAGACCGTCTCTGACGCTGTCTGCGTTGTTTCCAACTCCGAAGGAGAAGAATACGGTATCACATGTCATTCTTTGTACACAATCACCCATGGGGTACCATCCGGCCTTGTTGAAGACGACGCCAACTCGGTAAACCTGAAGAAAAAACAATTGTTTTATGTTTTAAAGCAGTTCAAATGAATAAATTTCGTGAAGATTTAGAAAAAATGAGAAATCTTCTATAATGGATCGAAAAGTTCTCCAGAAAATGTAGATTTTTGTAAAATAATTCATTTTCTCTCTATTTTTCAACAGATTTTTTGGTAAATATCTCGCAAATTATTAGGTTTAAAAGATCTTTAAACGTAGTTTTTGAAATTTCTAATGAAAAAGGTTCGTTTCCTTATTCTTTATTACCTTATTCTTCTGAATGAACACAGGACGATTGAAGGAAATTTCCACAAGTGTTCCAGTTTTCACTTTGGTGGTAAAATGGGTGTACGTTAGCCTCGACCCTTCAGAATCCAGAAGATGTGCATATAAAATCTCTGTGTAGGTTCCATCGGCTGCTCTAGGTACTGGATTCCCCTGCGAAACATCAAGATTATTTCTAAATCAAATCCCTGAATCCTTAAACGACAAAGAAAAAAAAATGAAGTGATCAAACGAGAAGATTCAATTTCAGAGATACAGTAATTTTTATGAAATTGATATGAATAAAGAAATTTTGGCAGTTCAGTATTATTAATAATAATTAATTCAGAAGTGGCAAAATAAGACACAGTCTTATGAGAAAATAAATATTTCGAGATTAGAGAGAACATTAAAATACAGAAAAAATCTTTAAAAATGAGAAAAAAATGAATAAAAATTTGATGTCTAATAACTTTTCTGTACCAAGTGTTTTAACCAATTGCAGAGAGAATCTGATAGATTAATTCTGCACTCTCGTCAAAGTTAGAATTCATGTAAGAAATTATCAACGATGAATAATTTGTTTCCGGACATTTTAAACTTATTTATACTACTTTAAACCGTTTTATCGTTTCGCTACTGAAATACCCATTAGAAATGAATTAATCCCATTAACTTAATCAATTTATTTACCTCGCAAGCGACTTGCGTGGGCACCTGGACCCCGATGACACAGATATTCTTATCAACACTGAAGGTAACAGAGCAGTCCAGCACACCAGAGTTGAGACAATCAGTCTGCTGTCCCATGGACCTCAGGCAATAGTACTTGGGTCCATCCCTGAATCCCCCCTCGATGAGGGCCGAGGGATTGCTGGATGAGGCCCCCTCCCTCGAGGGTTCCTTCCTGGTGGTGCCCCCCTCAGGGCTGTGACAGGACATCCAGGAAAAGTCCAGCCTCTCCGGCTCAGTTGAAACCATGTACGGAGAATGGTTCAACGAAGTCGAGGGAAATCCCAAGCTGGGATAATTCTGCCAGGAGTTTGTCGACAGCAGCGAGGCGAACTCCAGACTCCTGGGGGCATTGAACTTCGACAATCGGAGGTTCAAGGGCCCCTGGGTGGGTCTGGGCTTCTTCCTGGCGATGGGATTCGTCGAGAAGCCCTCAGGCATGTCGTTACTCGCCTGCTTGGAGGAGATGTTCATGAGAATGTAGAAAGCCTCTATCTCGGAAAAAAGGAGAGACCTCCCGGGACCATCGGCGAATTGCTGGGGGGTTAATGTGAGGAATCTGATCTTCGTCAGAGCGGTACCAGTGACCGATCTCAGGGCTTTTGGATCTGTTGGGTTTAACGACTTCCTGACGCACTCCGCCTTCGCCCACCTAAAATCAGTGGGCTTTTTCTCAAAATCCGGTTCTTTCTCGATTTCTCATCGTTAATAGCTCGTTTAGACTGGTCTAATCATTTTGTCATAACCATAGTCTATGAGCAGTTGATTTCTCCTGTGTTATTATAATTTTTTCATTATTGGTGACATTTTTGTCGGCAACATTTGAGTGTTTGGAGTTGAAGGTATAGAGGGACTTGGATCATGTCTTTTTGGTCAAATTTTGGACATTAGTAGTTGAATGTCAAGCTTCGAACATTCGACAGTTCGGAATTATTTTGATATTTGAATTCTGAATGTGGAGATTTGATTCTTCATTGGGGGATATTATTAAACGGGTGAGGAGGAAGAGCAGTTGATTTCTCCAGTGTTATTATAATTTTTTTATTATTGGTGACATTTTTGTCGGCAACATTTGAGTGTTTGGAGTTGAAGGTATAGAGGGACTTGGATCATGTCTTTTTGGTCAAATTTTGGACATTAGTAGTTGAATGTCAAGCTTCGAACATTCGACAGTTCGGAATTATTTTGATATTTGAATTCTGAATGTGGAGATTTGATTCTTCATTGGGGGATATCATTAAACGGGTGAGGAGGAAGATTTATGGAGTAATTCAACAATTGCAATTGTTTAACATTACGACCTTTTTCATGAATTGTCCGTGAACAATCAATTTTGCTCCATAAAAATCATTTTTCGAAGTTGCAATGCATTTGTGCATATCCAGAATTTTACTAGAGATCGATCTCATGCCGATTATAGTTATTTATTTATTCGTTTATAAGCAAGAAATGTTGCGAAAAATAACAATTTCTTGCAAAATTTATAAAGTATGCAATTGAACTGACAGATTAGGTGATTGAAAACCTCAGAATCTGCGGTGTTTTCCATACACTATTAAAAAAATTGAAAATTCATGCATCGTTTAGTTGTATTTTTAGAGGGAACGGCATAAAATTTCAGATTCCACTCAAAGTTCAATGAAAGTCAGGATTTTTCAGCAGCAGGAAAACGAGAATTCTCCAACTTGTTTGAATTTTTAACCGAAACATGAATATTCAATAGCAAATGATATTGCATTCTCAAAAAATTTAAAAATGAACAATATATTCACCTGGAATTCGGTGATTTCTATTGATTTTCACGGAATAATTGAACTGAAATTTACAGTTTGACTAATTTCCTCATCAACTTGTGAATTTTCAATTCCGAAATTCCTTCAAATTTCGGTGAAACTGTGACTTTTCATTTAAAAAATTGTACTTTTTTTTTCATATTCCATGCAGTTAATGACTAATAGATAGAAATTTACATTTTCCATTGATTTTCTCATCAACTTGTGAATTTTAATTACGAAATTCCTTAAAATTTAATGAGAACTGTCACTGGACAAAAATTTCCAAGAAGTATACCAAAATTTTAGCCAAAATATTCAAAAGTAAACTAAAATTTAAATGATAATTGCATATAAAGAATTATTTTTCGTAGAAATCTCTAGTTTCTTCTAAGAAAAATGAACAAATTTGGTAAAAACGCTCACCTCTCGATCGCGACAAACAATTCGAGTTCGGAATCGATCTGCAGTTCGTCCTGCTCAAAAATCGTGACAATGGTCCCCACCTCGACCTCATCCCAGCTGGGTTCATTGAGGATCTCATTGGTCTTCGTGCATATGATGGAGAGGCACTTCTCCATCAGGACAGGCTCCTCAAACAGCTTAGCAAACTCATAAGCCCTGCAGGCTTTATTCGGCGACAGGTCGGACCACAAGAATTTCGTGCACTCCTCGACGAGGAAGGGAAGCATGTACTTCTTCGCGCAGTAGCAGAGCTCACAGGCCAGCTCGAAGGACCCCAGGTCCACTTTGTCAGTGTAGATGTACTCCAGGAGGGTTTTGAAGGCCTCTGGCTGGACGTCCCTGATGGGAATGGGGTCGGTTTTCTCGGCCATGCTTCCGTAGAACATGGCCTCGAACACTGGACTGGACATGGCTAGGAACAATTTGTGGCCCTCCAGGATCTGCTGTTGAGGCTCCTGACCAACAATGAATTTGCAGTCTGACCATTGGCCAGTCTCCAGGAGGTAACGACCTCGTTGGGCCACTTTTTGCTTTGAGATCTGCCAGTCGCAGGGGAGACCCATTTTCAGGGGGTGATGAACCCCTGGGGGAGGACGAGGAGTTGCACTGGAGGAAGGACGACGATTTGCACTGGAGAATGACGAGGATTTGCACTCGGGGAAGAACGATTTGCACTGGGGGAAGGACGAGACTCTGCACTAGGAAATCTGGAGATGCCTCATCAGTTTCGAAGCCAAAAATAATGATTATTCAGATCGGAGTATAAATAAATTCCCGAGTCGTGGGATGTTTCTCGTGAGATGATTATTTGTGGATTCTGGGGATTCTGGGAACACTGGGGAGAGAATCACAACATTGTGGGGGAGACGGGTGGAGATCTGGAGATTGTTGAGGGTCGACGGTGCTGGAGGAATTCTATTGTCGGTGGGTTTTGTTATCATTGGCGAGATTAGGTGGAGTAAACACGGATTATTGGAGACTGGGCATATTCCGCCTGATTCGGGGAGATAATGGCACTGGCGGCCACCCCCGCCGCAACGCGCTGGCGACGGTCGACGCCATTTTGGACGCGGCAGTGGCGGGAGAGGAGTGGAAGGTTTGAAATGACTTCAGATGTTTCGGGTATTTTTGGGGAGATTTAGGTTTTGGGAATTTTATCGCGAATTTTGGGGGTTTAGGGGGTTTGGGGAACGATTTTTGGCGATTTGTGCAGGTTTTTTGGGAGTGGGTTCTTTGTGGGTCTCGGGGGTCTGGGATGAGGGAATAATTAAGAACAAAAACTCCGAGACGAATTTTTTTTTCCATTTTTGATTAGAACCGCTTTTAAAAAATGTAACATGGTAAAGTCGCATAATCTTCGATAGAAATGACGCAACAAACTAAGAGAATTATTTTATAGAATATTCACAGAACTCCAATAGACTTATAACGTTTTAATATATATTCAATCGATTTTTTTTATAAAAGTGCTAGATTTTTCTTGTGATTTTTTTAATTTGACAAATTTCTTTCTTTTTTCAATTTTTTTTCTGTTGTGTATTTGGCTTTGCCTGAGAGGGGGGGCCTCGCCCCCCTCAACCCCCCACGGGGGGCCAAGCCCCCTGGACCCCGCTTCTGCAACCCTCGCTGCGCTTAGTTAAATCGCGGTTTTTGAGCCCAGCGACGTAAAATTTTCACAAGGCGATAAAAGTTCTATCTGACTCATGTGATGATAATCCGAGACGGAGGCGAGGATTATAAAGTCACATTCGTCAGATAATACTTTTATCGCCGGATGACATAATGTGCTATTATGTCCCTAGGACCGACAAACCGGGAATTTTAACCGAACGAAGTAAGGGCGGGGACATAATAGTATATTTTTTTATCACTTGTGCTTAAAGTGAACTTTTCACACATCGTGACGAAATTTAGGGTTCCACACTTGCCTTCGGCGAGTGCTACATATCTCCCGAGGGTCAAAAAACACTTTTACGCGGTTGTATCAAAATATATAATTGTGTTCCTAGTGCGTAAAGTTCAAGAGCGTGTGTAAAGTGAATTTTGAGTGTGTAAAGCGAAGCTTAAGCGTTAGGCCATTCCGAAAACTGCCCTTCCAGCCAGGTATCACCAAAAAAGTTCACTTTACGGACAAGGGATGAAAAGTAATTTCCGAGCTTCGCTTTACGTACGAAAAACGACTTCGTGCACGATCCCCGAATTTTGCGCACGCTAAACCGCCCAAAAAAGTTCACTTTTCAGACAGGTGTTGCAAAATATACTATTTCCACGATTATTATACGTCATAAAATGATTAAACGATTGTACTTCTCAACAATTATTTTCAAAGTTATTAACATCGCGAAACATTGCACATTTTTCACTTGAGAAAATCCGAAAAATGAGGACTAATGTTACTGTAAATATTTATAACAAACCTACCGGTTGTGTCAATGAACAAAAAAATAGGCCGTGACTATTCGCACCATTGCGTGAATCACTCCCGTACACTCCATACACTCCACGCATGCGTGAAGTTTGTGTGTTTCACGCAGCCGAATTTTCATACTGCTGTGTATTTCACGCAGTTGAAGTTTCATACTACTGNTTGAAGTTTTATACTACTGTGTGTTTCACGCAGTTGGATTTTTATACACCGGTGTGTTTCACGCAGTTGTAGTGTTATACACATGTGTGTTTCACGCAGTTGTATTTTTATACACATGTATGTCTCACGCAGTTGTATTTTTATACACCTGTGTGTTTCACGCAGTTGCATTTTTATA